AGGGTGAAGCAAAGGGTTTCTGGGAAAACATCTGTTGTGTTTTTCTTTTTAGTTATTAAAGTAGTTTATCTCTCGTACTATGTCTGTTTGTTTACTGTTTAGGGATTTTTATTACATACTATATTTGCTGTAGTTGTGGTAAAGAACTTATAGTTCAAAGTTCAAATGTTCAAGTTCAAGTTATTAGCATTTCGGTGGTGGCGCTAGAGAGTTTGAGGCTCCAAATTTGGTGTGGTTAATATAAAAAAATATGAAATATAAAATACAAAAATCAATAGTAATGAAAATGTATCAAATGTTTATACGGCTATGCTTTTGATAAAGTAAAAAAAATAATTAAAATTGTTCACTGATACAGAGACATTCAGAGATACAAAGAATAAAAAAAATTAAAAAACCTACACCTACGCCACACCTAAACCCAACCATCACAGTTATTAACGTCTATACCTACAACAACCCTAAACCCAACCATCATAATTATTAATATCTACACCAAGCACCAACGTCTCATTCTCCCTCCTAAAGCCAATATAGAAGTAACTGAAACTGCAATTCATCAACTCGCCTTTGGAGGCTGGCTTCAGGAAATCCAGATGTTCACTGACTGCAATTGTAAATTGACCAATTTTACAGCGTGATACAAAAATGGTTTAGTGTATATAGCTAATATTACCCTTTATGACAACTGTGAGGGGTGAAATTTTTTTTATAACTCATGCATTTTGTTTTTATTCAGTTATAATTGAAGCATAATTATAGGCGTGGCCTCTTGAGTGACAGCTAAGTCTCGCTGGTCACCGTCATGTCATTCCAGCCGATAGCCACCGATATCTACATATTCATCGTATTCTTTTGTTTTATTCAGCTTTACACAGTCAGCTGCCTTTTGGGATTTTTTTCTACAATTATCAGATAATATGGCATGCAGTGCACTTAATTGTGCTCACAAACCTTTCAAGTTTCCTCAATTTTTCAGGTGAATAAAATTATATATTTATATACTATCTCTATAAATGTATTTGTATTATTTAGGATAAATTATCATTTATTATTTTCTTCAGCCCTGTAAAGCACTCCAGAATCTGACAGATTAATTAGCTGTAGGCCAGGGATGTCAAACTCAATTCCTGGAGGGCCGAAGCCCTGCACAGTTTAGTTCTAACCCTGCTCCAACACACTTACCTGTGGGTTTCAAACAAGCCTGAAGGAATCAATTAGTTTGATCAGGTGTGCTTAATTAGGGTTGGAACTAAACTGTGCAGAGCTGCGGCCCTTTTGGAACTGAGTTTGACTCCTGTGCTGTAGGCTAAAGAACAGTCATCTGAAATTTTGTCATACAGTTTTATGTCTGGATTTCATAAATAGCCTTGCATTTACTAACACAGAAGTAATTTGCACTTTCCTCCTGTAGAAAACATCATAAGAACAATGCTTAGTGGCTCGATGTATTACAACAGTGTTTTTAAAAGTCTAAACACTTCACTGATATAGTGTACAAGCAAGCACATGTGGTTTGAACACAAACAAGTCGCAGGTAATGAAGTATTAAGTGTTTCTCCTAAAGAAAAGCCCATCTAAGCAAAATGCTAGCAGGGGTCTGTAGCTCTGTTCACGCTTCGCCTCTTTGCCCTTGTTTGGTATCCCCCGGTGTGTGCAATGACGCACAGACAAAATGACGACGGTTGGCCACACCTACTTGTAGCTTCATTTCTGCTCTTTAGAAAACCCATGGGCGTCATCACGGATACTGATCCACGGATAATGTCCATATCTTTTACAGTTTATAGTCTACACCTTCCCCAACCCTTAACCCAACCTTCACAGTTATTAACGTACATCCGAGTTGCAGAGGATTTCATACTTGACGCGGTCACCATTGTACTGTTATTTGCAACCACAGAGGGTGATGCCGAGTAGGCAAACTGTCATGACAAAACAGATGAAGTCAGCGAGTGAAGTTGCATGATGGAGTTGCTAAATGATTGAATATAATAATATTTCAAATGACTTGGTTGAGAATAAATTCAGTGTAAACTTATGTAAACATTTGTTAAAAAAAGTAGGAGAAAGTATTTGCTTTTGTTGATAAGTATTTCCACCATTTTGCCAACAATATCTTGTTGTAACATCTTGCATGGTTCAATGGGATCTCGATAACTGCAAGTTACACCTCTAACTTACTACAAGTTACATCCCTTCATGTTACGCCCCTGTCTTGCAGTTTGCAGACAGATACACTTGTCAAAAGAGGGAGACGATTGTCAATGACAAAAATGAACCATAACGATTTAATTCAATTAATAGTTATAAATCTAAAATGTATTAAATAAAAATAAAGAAATACAAAAGATAATAAGTTAATGGATAAATTAACAGATAAATAAATACACTAACAAGTAAATATGTAAAAGTAATAAGGTAAATAAGTAAGAAAGTAAGTGATAAAGTAAATAAGTAAGTAATATTATAGATATTAATATTAAATATCTGAACACTGTCTAGAATCTTCGGCTGAGGGAGTTGGTGTGATATGGAGGGCTGGAAAGAACGAGCGCTGAGAGTTTTTGAAGAAACTGGGGTAGCTCCCAGGGCACTGCACTCGCATGTGGCCTGATCTATATTTTATTAATAGTGAAGTTCAATGGTGATTGATAGATTGCTTTAATAGCGGTGCGCGAGTGGTGGTAAAGTCATCCTAGTTCATGGGATTTAGCGTGCACCTCCTTTACGTACACATTTACTCATCTATTTATTCAGCCAATCCTTTTTTTATGGAAGGGGGGCGGCAGTTCCTCTCATTTCAAATATATCTCCAAGCACGAGCTTGGGGAATAAAGTTAATCTCCTGTGGAATTAAAATATTCATGAGGACATGAGGAAAAGATGGAAAAGAAGGAGTGCGGAGGATGGAGAGACGACTAGAGGAGTGGATGGGGAGGATAAATGGGTGATAAAAGATGGCTGAATGTAAAAGTGAAGCATTATGGGAAGTTGGGGGTACAGTGTAATTCCCTGCAGGTTGCATCAGGCTGGAAAAAATCTTCAACACTATCAAGTGCCGCACATATTCTTGCGAATCTCGAGGAAATTGAACATCCTCAGACACGTGGCAAGAGACTGATTTTTGCGAATAAGAAACATGGTTTGATCAAAATGTGAATAAATATAGATCATAATGTACATTTTTGAATGCTAAAGTTGACAAAACAAAGTGATGACAGTTTAACAATTATGATGTAGGCCTATGGGCCAAAAGCCTCCACTAATGCTTTATTTTCACTGAGTGAAACAGTATAGTACCGTACATTACAGCATGATTCGGTATAGTCAACTTGATCAGGCTTGGTTTTCCACTGCTAACAATACCCTAACTTGGTAGACATGATATATAGAAGATTGTTCTGATCAACATTATTCTCACTTAGAGAAGAATGCCACTTAAAGTACCTAAATTTATTTATTTATTTATTATTATTTTTTTTTTTATTTACTGTTGGCATCTATATGAATTATCCACTAATTTGCCAAAATGTAAGTTATGTTTTGAATTAAATTAGATTGTGTTGAATAGTTAGGGCAAAAAGTAATCTAAAAGTAAACCAAAAGTAGTCAGAAAGTTGGTGTTTACCAAAAGTAACATATTACCCAAAAGTTGCGATGAATGTCATTCTAGCTCAAATAGAGGGAGAAAGAGGTGCGAATGACACTTCGCATCTATATGAATTATTCGCAAATTTTTTCAAAACTGTAAATCAGTTATGTATTACCATAAATTGCGTTGGCTAGTTAGGGCATTGTGTTGGCTAATCCAAAAGTAGTCAGAACACATTACTCAAAATATCAAAATAAATAAGTAAATGAATAAATATAAGTTAAAGCTGTGTTGATATAAGCCCATATTACACTTATCTCTCACTATAACTTGAGAGAAATGTTTCTCAAGCATTCTCCACCCTTATAGACTAACTAATCAGGCTCATTTTGCAACATTTAGGCCTTTTATATGTAAATGATCCAATATTTTGTTATTGATATTGTAATTAAGAAGGTCTACCCCTAAACAACAGTCACTAGGGTATAAGCAGATTTTACAAAATAACATTATATGAATTCATACAAAGTAGATACTTTTGCCATGTGTAAAACAAAAAACAAAACCTCCCTCTATTCCCACATGACTGAGTTGATAGTTCTACTTAACAGACATTGATGTGTAAATGTGTTAGTTTTGTGTAATTGAGTTTATTGCTGTGATATCCAGTGCTGGGTAGTAAGTGATTCCATGTAATTTGGATAATGTAATCAGATTACAAAAGCACAATATCTCATTAGTAATTAGAGTATATTATGTTGTAGAATCCTCATAATAATCAGATCACAGTAACCTTTTATGAATACCAATATAACTAATTATTTAGTGACAGTTTATTATTTAGAATTTATCAATTCTCTTTTAAATTTAAACACAATAAACTGGTTATGTTAAAAGAAATTTAAAAGTAATCAGAACAATCATTATTCTAAATCATATATTATTATTTTATATTATTATTATTTTATATTATTATTACTCACTATTATTACCCTACAACCACATGGGTACACTTAGGATACATAAAAGTAATCCAAAAGTAATCCAAAAGAAGTCATTTATATTACCTAAACCAAGTAAACTTGATCTTGCAATTGACTAGACATTTTAAGTAATCTCGAGTAACTCTAACCAGCACCAATGATGTTAGTCCACAAGTAAAAATGTAAAAAGCTGTGTCAGTCATGTATGCTGTTTAATATATAGTTGCATCAAAAGTTTTATTTGACCAATGGTATTTCACTGTGGGCGTAGCTACCCAGTGTGCTTCACTGTATCTTGGCTGGCTCACCAAATTAGTTTCACATTTGCCCTGCTATTGTAAAACTATCCAACCATGTTTCAAAAAGAATAATTATATGTTTCTTTTTCAATATGATTGTTGTATAATATGCATGTGTCTCACCTCGGCTGAGTCCGTCTGGTCCCCGTAAGATGCGGCACTCCTCGATCTGTCCGTAGGGAGAAAACATGACCCGAATGTCGTTCTCATTGCATTTCTTCGACACCATCCCAATGAACAGCTTTCTATCCTCCACCGCTGAGCAAAAGAGGAGAGGTGGAGAAAACAAGTGTGACCAACGTGCGCTAAAATAGACATTGAGGCTGCACATGATCAGCGTCTCATTTGCACATCAATGACAAACACACACACTCATTTTTGCTGGGTTCTCTCTGATCTTTTCTTTCAGTGACCCGGGTGCTTTCTCTTCTGCCATAATCTACATGCGCTGCCTTTCTAGTCCTCGTGGGGAACTTCCTATTTACGAGCTTGAAGGCCGTAATTATGATGCGATGTGCATTTTAGTGGGAATAAAATGGATGCGATTTCATTTTATTTTTCCTCTCTTTTTTTCATAGTTCACTAAAAAGACTAGCAACTCTTTAGCGCTAATGCAACAAAAATGAAGAGGAAAAGGTGCATTAGGTGGGTAATTGATACCTCACATTTTTGTGTTGCCAAAAAGAATGATGGGAAATGTAGTTATGTTGCTTGACTCTTTAGCTGGATGAATAAACAGCTCTTTTCTGGCAAATGTATTGCATTTTTTATAATCTCCAGAAGACAAAACGTCAGCCAAATGGAATACTACAACAAAAATATTCATGACATTGGAATTTGTGAAATAATTCAGCTAATTTAATTGCAGTTTTAGGTGTATTATAAAGCTATGGAAACAAAAATAAGGGTCCACTTTAAAATTATCTGAATTAACTGCTGATAATTTCTTCCATATTTAAAATAACACATGTTGTAATTTGAATAAAGCATTGAATTGACTTGTCATGTTTTGAGATGTTTACATGCATTTCTACCATAATCAACATTTCAAAATAATCAACATTTTATGAAATAACAATGATTAAGATTTTATTATATTAACTAGGGGCAGTGTACATTAATCAATGCCCTCCAAGAATGTACTTGTACAAGTTAAAGGCAAAACCAATAAAAATACAAACTCAAACTACAAACAATAATCAAATAAACATGAAAAAACACAACAACAACAAACACAACATTAAAAAGCCTAGTGTTTACAATGTTGATTATTAGGAAGCCATGTCTGAAAATGATACTTAAATGACTTAAAAGATACACATTTTCTATTAAATATGATAAATGACAACATTTTAATTCGAAATTTGGAAAACTTAAAAGTAACACTTTAAAACAATCGTCTGTTTCTACTGAGTGGCACAGTACGGGTCACCTTTATGAGGCTTTTGTTTCCACTGCCAAAAGGGTACCAATGGTGGGTGTGGCGTACGACAGAAAGTTTCAGTCATTGTCATTCACGCTCAATCTCGTTCAAAGTAAAGCTGTACGGGTTGTTCACATATCATATGAGAAGCACTTCTCACTAAACAGATGCTTTATACACACAAATACTTGTGCATAAATGTTCATTACTACCCTTTCTATGAACATGATCATAACTGCAGATCAATAACGTCTGCAATTATATAAATAAATAAATAAATAAATAAATACATGCAACATAATATATGAACACATACAGTTTCCGATATGTTACCAATTACAGAAAAACTACACACAGCATACATTTAGTCCTTATTTGGGTTCAAAAACAACACGCAACATGTAGCCCACAGTAACCACTCATCCGTATCTTTAATCTCACCAGCACATGTAACCTCTTATTAGAAAGTAATTTCGTCATTCTGAGTTCATATAGGTCCAAAAGGTGATGATAAAAGTTAAACATGGCAGTTTGTTCATGGTTTAGGTTGCTGAAAGAATCATTTGCTCCTCTGTTTTTTTACCGCTTCTCCTTCGTTTTTTCGCGTATCACTCTCGCGCGTGTCCGTTTCTGAAAGGATCGGATGTCAGAAGCACTTCAATAAATCTTATTATCATCAGCTCAAGAAGTTTGTTATTTTAAATAAAGACGAGCATGCAAGCACTCTGGAGCAAGTGAAACTGCTTGTGCACGTTTCTCTGTATACAAATAGCATTCACCTGCACGTCTAGCTCTGCCTTTTGGTACCCTTTTGTCATGCTAGGTACCCGGTACGGTTTGCTTTTTGGTACCTTTTTAGTGGAAACGGCCATAAAAAGAGTACCGTACTGTACCAATCAGAGGAAAAGGGGCAATAGTTATTGTTAGTTAATGTATTTACTAGCATTAACAAACAACTTGCAATAGGTTTATTGCAGTATTTATTCATCTTCATTAACATTAATATTAATTAAGTTAAATAATGTTTGTTCATGTTAACTCACTGTTCATCAACCAATGTTAATGGGCACAAATTTGGATCTGAATAATGCATTAGTTGATAGTGAACTATGATTAATAAACGCTTTACAAGATTATTCATACTTAGTTAATGCTAGTAAAAACCCAAACCTAATAAATCCAGGGAATTCATTGCGCCTTTAACTGTTTTTTTAAGTACCTATAGTCATTAACTTGATGTGGATCACCAAGGTTTACAATTTAAACAAAGATCTCATACGTTCTACTGAAAAAAGTAACTTAATTTAATTATATGTATCGAATTGAAATTCCACCTAATTTAAATAAATAAATAAATAAATAAATAAAATATTCATTTAGTCATTTAGATCAGTGTTTCTCAACCACATTCCTAGAAGACCACCAGTACTGCATGTTTTGGATGTCTCCTTTGTCTTTTACGCCCATTCCAGGTCTTTTAGCCTCTGCTAATAAGCTGATGATCTGAATCATGTGTGTTTGGTTAAGGAGACATGGAAAACGTGCAAAACTGGTTGTCCTTCAGTAACGTGCTTGAGAAACACTGAATTAGATGTCTTAAATATGAAAAACTGAGCATAATTGGAACAAAACAATAAGGAAATCTTAAAAAAAAAAAAAACGTAATACAACAATAAAATTACAAGTGTGTATGGTTGCAATTTACAGTCGTGTGCCTGTGAAAGCTTGAATGAGCAACTGAAAAAGAGAGAGAAAGAGAGCAAGAGTGTGGCAACTGTAATCCAATTTTTAGTTTAATGAAGAATGTGTCAGCTCTTACCGCTGGGCGGCCGATAAGCAAGCTGCTGCACTCGGGGAAATCGATAGCTCACTTGTTTATTTTGCTGTTTGAATTGTTTGTGCATTTAACGGTGACAGGATGAGCTAGCGATAAGTGCTGTTTCAAACACACACACACACACACACACTGTCATACAAGAAGATTAACACACACACAGGAGCAGCCTCTCGGTCTGATGGGTTACAGTTCACTAATGAGCACAAATAATGCTTTATAGCTGCGCTTACAGTCAATGTTTCATATACAATCATCATTTTGAGACGTTTTATGGAGAGTCACGTCTGTAAAATGACTGATCGCAGACAGATGCTTTTCCACCGACAAATCTGACTCTGAAAATACATGAAACGCTGTTCGCGGGCCATTTTATTTCCATAATAAGTCATTTCAGGAGGCAGAACGAGTTATTACATTTTGATGAAATATTCCACAAATATTTGTGCTTTGCAATAGCGTGCAGCGAATCATGCACAATGAGAGCAAAGACTAGCATTAGAAAAGTTATTATCCGCTGACTTGGGGAAAATAATTGTGTTTCGGCCTAATCTGGGAATTTATCGTACAGGCTGATTTGTGAAGCAGTCTGAGAGATTCACTGAAAAGGATCAAGTCAAAAGAACAATCGATATTAATATGGTTTGCGAGCAGGTCTGTGTACACAACAATTCTAGCAGATGAAAGATATTTTACACAATGCAATGTTTTCAGTATTTTTAAAATGACATGTCAGTATGATTTATTTAAAGATTATTAATAATTAATACTTTTATTTCTCATCCTTCTTTTATTTAATACTTTTATTTCTCATACATTACTATTTTTGATGTCTTTGCAGGTCTAAATAAACAAAGTAAAAATCATTCTTTATTTTTTGAGCTGGGGAAAAATTTATCACGATTAATCACATCCAAAACTAAAGTTTTGACATTAGATATGTGTGTGTATTACATATACAGCATTTATAATAATAATAATAATAATAATAATAATAATAATAATGATGATGATGATGATGATGATGATGATTCTTTACATTTATATAGAGCTTTTCTGCACCCTCAAATCTTTTTACACGTTTTGGGGGAATCTCTTCATCCACCACCAGTGTGCAGCATCCACCTGGATGACGTGACCATATTGCGCCAGACCGCATACCATACACCAGCTGATTGGTGGAGAGGAGACAGAGTGATATTCGCCCCTTTGTTTATTTTCCCCCTAATTTCTGTTTAACGGAGATCAGATTTTTTTAACAAATTTCTAAACATTATAGTTTTAATAACTCTATAACTTTATTTTATCTTTGCCATGATGACAGTAAATAATATTTGACTAGTTATTTTTCAAGACACTTCTATACAGCTTAAAGTGACATTTAAAGGCTTAACTAGGTTAATTAGGTTAACTAGGCTGGTTGGTGGCTAATAATTCTTACTTCAACCGTATATGAAAACAAAACGTTTTTGTTCACTTAAATATTTTTAATTAATATATAATTTTTTATCATATATATTTTTTATATCTAAATATAAATAAACATTTTCTCAAATATATGCATGCATTTGTGTATTTATATACACATAATAAATATACACAGTTCAACCACATACATTGTCAAAATTGGATGTGATTAATCGAGTTTAATGTTTGCCCAACACATTTAATTGTTTTTACATTTTGGGTGGCATTCTTTAATACTCTCTAAATTGCATTATATATATATATATATATATATATATATATATATATATATATATATATATATATATATATATATATATATATATATATTCATTAAAATGTCATTATAATACATATGGATAAAACAAAACAATTTGTTTGTTTGTTTAGGTCAAAAGTAGACTATAAGGCTTTATATATATTAACAATGAATCAAAAGTGACAAAGTAATTCAAAAGTTGACTGTTGGTCTGTCTTGTTTATTGATCCGTTGTAGGGCAGCACAATATTGGATTTTTTTCAAATTTTTCACATTTTTATATTTCATATTGTGTTTTGTATAATTTTACAATATGACATAAGAAACTCTTTGGGGCAAATTCACAATTTTACATTGATTTGGGATGATTCTGCAGTGGAGTGTATCTGCATAGATTATATCCAAAAATATATGTAAAAATTGTAATTAAAAAATGTAAGCACAGATAGAAAACAAAATAAACAATGCTTTATGGGTTTTGGAGGAATATTACAATATTGAGGTCAAGAAATTAAATAATCAAATCTAAAATAACACTCTATAGTCTTCATTTGATGAATAATTAAACTCAATTAATCTTTGGTAAAGTGGCAAACTTTATAACTTCTTGTTGCCAAATGGTTTTAATTTGCTTTAAATATTACAGTCACTGGCCTTAAAACAGATCTGAGTAAAAAACTAATAGATTATGACTGAAATTGAAAACGATTAAACAAATCATGTGTACTGAACTGTGATTTTTAGTTAATTGTAATCTCAACTCAACATTGAATGTCCTGTGGTGTGACTATTGCAGATGCGCACATTGTGATATCGATGCTGAAACGATACATTGTGCAAGCCTAGTTGGTTCTTTTAGAAGATGATAGATAGATAGATAGATAGATAGATAGATAGATAGATAGATAGATAGATAGATAGATAGATAGATAGATAGATAGATAGATAGATAGATAGATAGATAGATAGATAGATAGATAGATAGATAGATAGATAGATAGATAGATAGATAGATAGATAGATAGATAGATAAATAGATAGAGCCTTTTGAGCTTACATATGCGTTGGGGAACCGATGATAGCCCCTAAACATGAAAAAAGTCTATCATTTTTATGACATATCTCCTTTAAAGAGCTTTGCAGATCCTCTGGTCACCAGCTCTCTTTCACTGGACTTCCTGACCACATTTATGAAATCATTTTATGAGTGATTCGCTTTATCTGAGTGTCTGTATATACGCGTATGGGTCACTGCCAGGCCAGACGCTTAAACTATTGTTGACCCGCGGCTCTCCTGGGCTTCAATAATTCAGTCATCTTCCAGTCAGTCACACACACAGATGGAAAGACAAGCGTACTGGAGACAAAATATAGGAGACACTCACCATTTGATTTCTCACTGTCTGCGGGCTTCATCTGTATGGGATGGTGCATCTGAAACACAAGACGCACACGGGTTACATTTACTACAGCACACTCATTAATGTTCATAATCAAGCTGGTCTCGCTGATGTTCTACATTATCGCTGTAATCTTGTTAATGTGTCGTCGTTTTTTCCGCTGACTCAATTCTTCATCTCGATAGACGCGAGCCGAATGAAGACGTACGCGAGCGGGGCTGCTGATGAAGGTGATTTGTCAGCACTTTGCCGATGAAATGTTTATTGCGCTCCATCTTTCCTGTTCTCTTAATCTCGATCTAATGTTTTTTTCTGAATAATTTGTTGTGTGCTCTGGGTCTTTCCCGTCTGCACTATTTTTAATTGTCAGTCTATGTACACAGGGGTCAGATTAATATTTTTGTGGAGGTAATGCTGTGTTTTTCATTTTTGTTGTTAAAGTTGTGTGTCTTATTTGACTTTTAATGTCTGTTTGACAATATTCAGTATCTTTGATATTTGTGTAGTTAAAAAAAAACAAAGAACATTTTACCTAAGCAACATTTCATAATGTTAAAATTTCAAATAATGTAATGTATTAATTATTCTATCTTTATGAATCTACAGCATATATAATCACTCTTAAAGTCTGCATGAAACCCAAATGTACAATGTTTATTTTACTACAGTAGTGCACATTGCTAGTCTTAAAGGGATAGTTCACACAAAAATTGTCATCATTTAGTCACTCTTCACTTGTTCCAAACCTGTTTGAGTTTCTTCTGTTGAACACAAAGTAAGATATTTTAAAGAAGAAAGAATTTACAGCTAACGTTTGAGTGCTACTGCACACGTTCCTAAACAGCGCTGATTTGCCATTGTGTTTACCTGCTCCACTGAAATGACTTTGATTGGCCGTGAAGGTCATCAGTTCATCAAACTCACCGCTGTTTACTGAGTGTAACCACGGATATAGGGACACTGGAGCGTTTCAAAGTCATGTTGATCAGCTGGTTTGTCTATAAGCTGACATACGAGCGATCCGCTAATAAATCGCGATTCTTAAAAAATGGAAATTACTTCATAAAACATCCAGTTCCAAACCATGTAATGAAAATTTGATTTATTTAAATGTGCAATTAGTCGTTTTACATGACTTATAGATGTTGCATATGTATATGAGTGTCTCTCGAAAAATGACGTCTCACCTGCGCCCTCACATTCATAAAATTTCATAGAAGTTGTGGTGGTGGTGGGGGGGGGGTTGTTTTGCAATAAGCAGACAAATAAAGCGTGAGTGACTTACATCTGAAGTCAATGCAAAGATGGAATTAGACATCCTGTGGCACAAATCGGATGCTTTGTGCATTTAACGTGCTTCAGACTGTAAAAGAAAGTGGAAGCAAACCTCTAACAAATGGAGCAAAGGAACAGAAAAAAACAAGCAGCTTACAATGATGAATATAAGTTCACAGATGATGGCTGCTGGATGTGGCCGAATTGGACATTATATTTGCTTTACATGAATGGTCGGTATTAAGATGTGCATCAAATAGATAAATTAATTAGTTTAACTCTTTCCCTGTAGGTAACGAGAGAAAACGCTTCCCTGCCATTGATGAATTTGAGGTGTATTAAGATAGGGTAAGCCCTAACACATGTTCTATGTGTGAGGTAAATGATCTCAGATGCTCTGCAGTGAAATCTGAGAGAGAGAAAGTAAGATCATAGAAAAAAATAAGAGTTATAGCACCTTCCTTTGGCTTAATCCCTACCATTTTAGATCTGTATTAGAGACCAAAATATAGAAGCTTTGTTTTTATTATTTGTATTTTTTAAATCACAAAAAAAAAAAAACCTTAACAACAAAAAAAAAAGTTAAAAACTAGGTGGTCCGACATATATCAATGGTACATATTATCAAAGATACACTTAGGATATACTGAAATGGAGATGCAAAAAGAGGTTTGTTGCTTTATTTAATTAACGCCATTAACGCTACACTTCCATTTTTGATTGCTCATCTATTTTTTCTTTCACTTTTTTAAATAACATTTAAACTGGTACCATGGTGTCAAGTCTCTTCATCTTGCAGCACCTTTAGCTTAGTGGATCAACTCCACAATGCTGAGTCCAGCTTTGATATACTGCCAGAGTTCAGATCACAAACACACACACACACGCACGCACGCACGCACGCACGCACGCACGCACGCACACACACACACACACACACACACACACACACACACACACAGCATCTGTTTCTCCATATTCATGTGTTCTCTATACGATGTGTATGTGTGTGTCCACATATGTAAACATTTTCATTTACTCCTGATAAAGTCCATGACACTCATTACAGAGATTATATTCTTGAACACTTCTCATCAAATATATATGCCAGTTCTCTCTCTCTCTCAAACACAAACCTGAATGCGGTCAACATCTGTGGCTGAGGATGTCAGAATGACAGCTTTAGAACTCCTGGCCTGGATCGAGTTATAAAAGCAGTCCGAAATAACTGAAGATATCCGTTTACTTCATTTCAGCTCTGACCTTTGCCCCATACACACACACCCACATACACACATGAAAACACACGTTCATGCCTTTGATGGCTTGCCATGCTGCTGGCATCTGATCCTGTAGGACACACACACATACACACACACGCACACACAAACGCACTCCTTTTGACCGTGAGCTGAATACTTAATGGCTACAAAAGTCTCAAGTTTGGTGTTTGACTTTGTTTTTTAAAGACTAGAAGATTTATCACTGATATTATTTTCCGGGTGATGAAGAATTGATTTATTATTTACACATTTACTATTAATTCACATATACTATTATATAACTATTATTCATATTCATTCACATTCACATATTATTTGCATGTATGTTGATTATCCTGTCAGATTTTGCTGTTTATAGAAAGGCAGTTATCTATGTGTGCCCATGTGTGTAGTCCAGTGGTTTGAGGACACAGTGTGTGTGTTTGTGTGTGTGTGTGTGTGTTTTGGGTTAAAGATCACAGGAGTCAGACAGATGGGCACACAGTGGGGATTTTATAAGCTGCCACACTCACTCTCTCTCTCTCAAACACACACACACACATACACACACACACACTGTCATAAACACTAGCAGTAAGCAATATGTAATTTAAAATAAACAAGCCGTTGCATCTACCTCTAATAGAGCCCTCACACACACAAGCAAAGAAGACAGATGAGACCTTCTTGAAAGCAATTCAGACGGTGTAATTGACAACATCTGTCAATGTTATAAACAGATAACCTACTGACACACACACACAAGTGGAAACGTTTACATCAAGTTAAACAAACAGAACAGCCAGATAGTTGGATAGATGGATTGATGGTGGTATGAATGAATTTAGAGACGAATGAATAATGAATAGGGAATCCTGTGGATGGGTTGATGGATAAATGAAAGAATGAAAGATGGATGGTCAGATGGATGATTGGATGAAGAATAAATAAATGAACGGATGGATGAATAAATGAATGAATGTATGATGTATGTTGGAATGGATGGATTGAGAAATTAATATGATGGATGGAGGGATGGATGGATGGATGGATGGATGGATGATAGACTGATAGGATGAATAAACAGACCAATGAGTGTGTGGATGATGAATAAATTAACAGATGGATGGTAGGATGGATGAATGAAGGTTTGATGAATTAATGGATGAATTAATGAATGAATGACATAAGAATGAATGCATGATGATTTGCCAGATGGATGATAGGATGGGTGTATGGATGGATAATGGATGAATTAATGTAAGATGGATGATACGCTGGTATGATGAATGAACAGATCAATGAAAGTATTGATGAATTAATAAAGAGATAGATTGATGGATGGTAGGATGTACAAATGGATGAATGAATGAATGAATGAATGAATGAATGGGTGGGTGGGTGGATTGATGGACGAATGAATGCATGATTACTGGGTATATGGATGATAAATACATGAACAGGTGGATGGTATGGTGGGTGGATGAATGTTTGACGAATTAATGGATAAATAATTAATTCACAGATACATGAATGAATAAATGATGTATGAATGAATGATGAATGAATGGATGATTTAATGGATGAATGGATGAATGGATGAATGGATGAATGAATGAATGAATGAATGAATGAATGAATGAATGAATGAATGAATGAATGGGTGGGTGGATTGATGGACGAATGAATGCATGATTACTGAGTATATGGATGATAAATACATGAACAGGTGGATGGTAGGGTGTGTGGATGAATGTTTGACGAATTAATGGATAATTAATTAATTCACAGATACATGAATGAATGAATGATGTATGAATGCATGATGAATGATGATTGAATGGATGAATGAATGAATAGTGGACCGATATAAAAATAGATAGATAATGGATGATAGGATAGGTGTATGGATGGATGAGGGATGAATTAATGTCAGATGGATGATAGGCTGGTAAGATAAATGGACAGACCAATGAAAGTATTGATGAACAGATGGATTGATGGATGATAGGATGTATAGATGAATGAATAAATGAATGAATTAATTAATTAATGATGGTTGAATTAATGGAAGAATGAATGCATGGTTAATGGATGGATGATAGGCTGCTAGGATGAATGGACAGATAAATGAATGCATGGATGATGAATGTCCTAACAGATGGGTTGATGAATGGTAGAGTGGATGGATGTTTGAAGAATTGATGGTTGAATGTATAAATGACAGAGGGATGGATAGACAGACGAATTAATGGACAGACATATGTTAGATGAATGGATGGATGGATGGATGAATGGATGGATGGATGGATGGATGGAAAGACAGATGGATGAGCCCATGGATGGACCAAGGATGAATGGAGGGATGGATGGATGGATGAATGAATGGATGAATAGAAGGATGGAAAGATGGGTCAATTGACACAATTGATGTATACTGAATGGTTAGTTGTCTCTTTGCTATATTTAGTCTATTTAAATAGTATTTAGGTTAATATTAGGTTTGTATGCATTTTTTCCCACTTAAGTTTTGTACATTATCATTCCATTGTTCATGTCAAAGTCACAACATTCTGCTAATTATTTTGAAGAACAGTGTGTCAATAAACACGTTAATACTCTACAAACACATTATTTTTTTCTCAAATTAAGCACAGAAGTATCACAAAAGTAGATTTCAAGAGAACTGTAAAGCCTAACAATGATCAAAAACAAAAATCCCCAAGCTTGTTTATTAAACGAGTAAATATGTTTGCTTATTCAATATTTTTCTTTTAACTACAGTCTCAAAATCTGCAACTTCAAAATAAAGTCTTCAGACTCTCCTATGCGACAAATGACTGTAAACAAAGTCCACCGTCCAAACCTTTTACAGCATATTTCCCAAGACGGTCGTGATTTTCGGCGGTCTTCGGTGCAGTGAATTAATGCACAATCGCATTATGAGAGATGAATGCGTTCACAGCTGGAGGAGACTTTAGCAGACGTGTCCTACATTAGCCTTCAATCGTCCTCTCAGAGACGGCCTGATTATGGCAGCAATTGATATGATAATCGTATGTGACATCTCTAGTCTGCCGAAGGCTACGGAGTTCAGAATAGGAAAAACAACATTTCGAACTAAACAAAAAAGATGATTTGAAAACAATGGGAAGAAACACAGACATTAAAAGCAAGAATGCAGTTCATCTGTCAGTTTTATAACAGAGCTATTGTTATGTTTTCATAAATAAAGTCTTGTTTTGGCTTTAAGCACAACCTTGCATTTTTATTTTATTTTATTTTATTTTATAATAGTCGACAGTAATCTGTGGTGCTTTTTTTTGCAGCACACACAAACACAAGTAATAAGATATCTGGTATATATGATTTTAGTAAGAATGTTTCATTTGTTAGCTAGTTATGATGAACTAACACTTACATGAACTAAAGCATTTATAAATCTCATCTAATGTTAATGCCAGTAATAATCTTCATTGATTTAAAAGACCTGTAGAATAAAATAATATTTACCATCCATTCATTGATCCATCCATTTATTTATTTAATTAGGAGGAAAAGCCTGTATATATTCAAACATTTTGCCACATGCTGTTTTGCAATCATCCAACGTTTACAGCTAATTTAAAAAAATAGTTTAGTTATTTTTTTGTCAAATCTCAAATTACAGCAGATATTTTAAAAATTATTATTATTATACAGATTATTTCTTTCTTTCTTTCTTTCTTTCTTTCTTTCTTTCTTTCTTTCTTTCTTTCTTTCTTTCTTTCTTTCTTTCTCTTATAGGTTATTCAATTTATTCAATAATGTCTTCAAATAATTAAATAATTTAATAAATTTGTAAATTATTATTAGTTCACTGGCAACGCACAAAACACCATATATAAATAAATAAATTAGAAAAAATAAGATAAATAAATAAATAAATAAATATTTATTTATAATTTCAATGATCCAGAGCATCAGCAGCCAGCCTGTCATACTGTGCATTTCCAAAAACCATTGTTAGCTAACTAAAGTGGAAGTTTTGTCATTACAAATATAGTTAATTGATTTGGCATTTTCACTGCATTGCAAACTTGTACGCTCGAAACTACACCTCTAGAGCTGTAGTTAGAAGCAGAGCTCCTGGTTGTGTTATATTTCCAGTTATCCCCCCTATGCCCTATTCGTTTAGAACATTCTAACATAAAAAAACACAATAAAGTCATCTCTCTTAGGTGTAATTTCCTTTTAAAGTATTTTTATATTCATATTGACAATTGCGTTCCCTTCATAATGTACTTTGAAAACATTTATGCCATCTTGAACACAGCCCACAGCCATGGCTCATGACGAAAGCTATGTGACGTTAAAAGTTGTAGTCTTAAAGCCTATGAAAACCAATGTTTGTGTGTGTGTGCATGTGTGTGTGTGTGTGTGTATATATATATATATATATATATATATATATATATATATATATATATATATATATATATATATATATATATATATATATATATATATATATATAAATTTATTATTAAGAAATGTAATAAATTTTTAAGAAATGTCCAACATGGGTCTGATGGTTAGAACATTTCTGCAGTGGTTAGAATGTCAGAAAGTAAAAGTAGACTTAAAAAAATATAAAATAAACAAACAATATCCTACTTAATAATAATAATAATCATCATCATCATAATAATAATATTAATAATTATTATTAATATTGTTATTATTATTAGTGTTATTATTAATATTAAGTAGGATTTTTTTTTCATTTCTTAATAAATAGCCTACTGTAAATTAGGCCTACAACCATTAACGATTTATACAATTTATATATGAGATTAAAATGTGTTAGCTAAGTGATTTTATATGGAATATTTTCAATAATATTTTTAAAGGAAATATAGGTCCAATGTGTTGTTTACATATATTTCAATTAATATGGAAAACATGTGTATGTTTTTTACCAAAACTAATATTGAATTTTTTTATGCAATAATTAGCACAAAACTGATAGGTTTTTTCTCTAAAGAAGTAGTTACTAGTGTTGGACGATATACGAAATTTTTAGATTGCCTTATCGTCCCCCTGTGAGATCACCAATATACAATACTATTGCATGGGGGCGCGGTAGTTATACGTTTATGTATATAACATTTCATTATTATATTTAACCATATCTAAAGATATTTAAGATATTATTGATTTTTTTTAACCTACTGCGTTTGCATGGCATTTGATCTTGAATAATAATTCAAACCAATGCAAATCACCATGCTCTTACAGCTAAATAGGCGCTGACACTGAAATGATTTCAAAGACTCGATGCAACAGTGCGGCACGGGACAGGATTTGATGGTGACTTCAGGTTCATGCCGGTCTCCACTTGGCATAGGCTATGTGTTTATTGTTTTCTGATAAGAGTTTAATTTTAGACATAGCTGCGACGAGTTGGCAATTGATCTAATATTAAATAGCCTATTTGACCTAAAACTTTTCACTGAGCGCAGTAAAATATTCTTTTATAAGTTATTAATAATCTGTTTAAAAATTCTTTAATGCCAATACGAATGGTAAAATAAATATTGTAAGTTATTTAATATAGGCTAGTTTAAATAAATAAATATATTATAATAGCCAAAATGCGGAGGTTTTTCTTTCCGTTCGCCATGTGGCATCAAATTCCAATAAAACAAAAGTTGAAAGTTAAAAACGAAACACCCAAATTGCATGAAACTCTGGAGCCTGGTGGTGCGACATTAATTGTTTTATAGTGAAACTTGCCTTTAAAAAGTGCATCCTTGGTCTTATCCATATTTCTTTGCATGTTTAACACATGTCGACCCCAACAGACAAAAAAATAATAATCTGCAACAGCGTTAATTGCGTAATTTTTTTTTTACATGTTAAATATTTCTAATTAATCGCATGTGTTAACGCACTAGTTTTGACAGAACTAGTATATATACAACATATTTCAATCAAGACTTAATACTATGGACAATTTAAAATATGTATTCTTTAATTTTTTATGGAAATCCTTATGGTTTTTGTTCAAGATTCTTTGACAATAAACAGCATTCTTTGCAAAATAACATCATTTATTTGAAAATGAATGTCCGCTGTCACTTTCAAACTGACTCCTAGCGTATCTCCCATGTCCACTTGTGTTTGGATTTCGAGTGCAATAACTCTGAGTTTCAGCACAACATGTAGCACTTTCTCCATTAAAAAGCACAAACTCATTAAAGTTGCTCTCTGACTTGAGACAAAGACCAGCATAAGCCTTTCTCCTCAACCCGACTTTTCCTGAATTACCACCTCCAACAAAGGAAAGCAGATTAAAAAACTCGAAACCGTCGTCATATGAATAAGAAATTCTTTGCCTCGCTGGCTTTCATAAAGAGACAGACACGAGCAGATAAACAAACACTCACCCCAGTTAAGGTCTTTATGTTGTGCAGTGCATTCTGGGCCTCCAGGGCAGCTTTCCTTGTGTAGAACGTGACAAAACAGCACCCTGGGACAACAGACAGAGATGGAGAGAGAGGTAAGCATTTTAAGCATGCAATAAGCCAAGTGGATTTGATCTTTTTTTTTTGCTTTCTTTTTTCTTTTTGTCGCACTTCCTGCTGAGAGAGAAAACAATCTCACTGCTGTCATACAGATCTCTGCCAAACTACACCACAGAGAAGAGGAAAGAAAGAGGCTAATATCTGATTCTTAAAGGAACACTCCAATTTTTTGGTAATAGGCTCATTTTATTACTCCCCTAGAATTAACGCAGTTGATGTTTACCATTTTTAATCCATTCAGTTATTCTCTGCATCTGGCACTAGAACTTTTAGCTTAGCTTAGCATAGATCATTGAATCAGATTAGACCATTAGCAATTTGCTAAAAAAATTCAAAAAAGCGTTTCGATAATCTTCGTATGTATATCATGTAAGATACAAAATTGGTTTCATAAAAAGGTACATATGTGTTGAAAAACTCCTTTATTACAATATGTATGAAATTAATATAACTAAAAAGGCAAATTTATTTTAAGAATATTTAACATATTAAAACATCAATCATCATTTAAAAGCATATGTTTAAAGAAACTCATAAACAATAATTATAAAACAAAACTATAGGTAATGTAAACTAAACATTTAAGGCATTTTTAATAAACATTTGGTAAGCATTTTCTGATAAATACAGTTTTATTATTGATATCTGCATCTTTTGGCGTTTGCTTTCCACTACGCACATGAGCTGGCAAAAGTCCTGCATATGCAAAGTGTTCATGAAGACATTTTAGTACTGTACAACTAATCAAACATTGTGCATATCTTGTTACAATACTGTTGCATAATTCTACTTCTACTTTAAAATGAAGTCAATTAAATGAACATTTAAGTGATTACGAAGGTATTGTGTGAACATTGGAGAAAAAAAAAAAGTTTTATAATGTACATGGGCGAATGTATTAGTGTAGCATTTTGGTGAAAAGTGTTGTGAAATGTTTATCAAAAATAGATCTTTTGATTTGTGTTAAAGTATTTTGTATTCCTTATTGTGTATGGAAAAGGTGCATTTACACAAAAATAGACTTTTTTAAACAAGCAAAATGCCCTTAAGGCGAGGAAGTGGTGCAGTAGGAAGTGCTGTCGCCTCACAGCAAGAAGGTCGCTGGGTTGCTGGTTCGAACCTCGGCTCAGTTGGCGTTTCTGTGTGGAGTTTGCATGTTCTCCCTGCCTTCGCGTGGGTTTCCTCTGGGTGCTCCGGTTTCCCCCACAGTCCAAAGACATGCGGTACAGGTGAATTGGGTTGGCTCAATTGTCCGTAGTGTATGAGTGTGTGTGTGTGGATGTTTCCCAGAGATGGTTTGCGGCTGGAAGGGCATCCGCTGCGTAAAAACTTGCTGGATAAGTTGGCGGTTCATTCCACTGTGGCGACCCGAGATTAATAAAGGCTCTAAGCCGACAAGAAAATGAATGAAAATACCCTTAAATATTTCTTAAAGGAACACATTTGACACTGTTAAGGTACAAAGTGTCTTGTAGTGGGACATTCATGGATCAGATTTGTACCTTTGATGAAGATACAATATTGTGTCTGGAGGTTTTAAAACCAAAAGTACATTTTGGTTTCCCATGGGACAAATCATGTCCTTAAAGGCACAAACTGCAATGGTGCAAATTTGTTTCTTTGTCTTAAGGTACATTTCTGTTCCATAAAAGGGTACAACCAGAGTGACAAGGGTTTGTACCTTTTTTGACAACATTGTACCATTTTTTTCTGAGAGGGCAGTAAAATGCACCAGAAAACATTTTATGGATGCATTCCACTAATGTTTTACAACCACTTGTTACAAAACTTCTTTTGAAGCTCCTAAAAACAGATCTGTCTTTCCTCAGAAAAGTAAAAGCACACACATGCATATACATACACACTAATATATAGGTATATAAGGTGTGTGTGTGTGTAAAGCAAGCTGAGAGTGCTGGCATGTATTCTTTAGAGAGAAAACAGAAGAGGAACAAGGCAAAACAAAAAAAAATTGAGTGAACTGAATCTCTTTCTACTGCCAGGAAAAATTTTGGCAGGATAAACTAAGGACTCACTTATCCCTGGCAACATCGCCGTCCAGTCCACGGCCAAAACAATCGCGTTCCCAGTATTACACATGCACACGCACACACACCAGACACCAGAGAGCGATCATACACATTTAAACCCCCAACATGCCTGAATCATTCCCATCAGTCAACACTGACACTGCTTGTGGAATAATAGTTCTGGCCCATTAACACAAAGGTTGCAGGTTCAGTCCCAATTAAGAGTGACCCGGGATCTGAAGAGTTAATGAGATCCTGGTTCCGATCAATCATCATTGTGCCTGAAGGAGAACAATGACCCTGGGGGTCTCAAAGGAACAGCGAATGCAGAATTACAGTACCGCGGTGACCTCAAAACACAAGCATTTACTAAATGGATTAAGCCATTAATCACTTTGAATAACAGTCCATTAGTTTGTGTATTTACCAACAACTAAGAATGAACAATCTTGTACAGAATTTGTTAATCATAGTTCAACATTTACTAATGCATTATTTAAATCAATAGTGTGCTTGGAAATGTTTATTTGTACTAACATGTTAACAAAATTGTATAAATACTGTATTACATGTATTGTTCATTGTTTGTTCATGTTTGTAAATATAATTAACATAAGTAAGTGACAGTGTTACCTACAGTATATATGTATACTGTAACTACTGTTTTCTGATCCGGATTACAAAATCAAGACACAAACATTAACTGCATTAAACAAGGATACCACAAATAAACATCTAGACCTTTCTTTTCCCAAAACCATGAACAAATTGGACAAAATCAGGACAATATATATTCTCATTATTTTTGAACACATCTATGCGGTTATGCGGTGGCACAGACTTAGACCTCTTTCTTGACTTTACACAGAAACAGTAATGCACAGGGCATCACTATATTGCAGAGACGCTACTGGTTAAATGTCGGCAAAGTAGAACACGGAAGCAGCATGAAGCGCAAAGCACGAGTATGTCTGGGGTCTGGTGGTATTACAAGGTTGATGACGACAACATTGTCTTAGCAAACTGTGAGATATGTAAACTTGCAAACGCCTACTGGGTGTTTTAAGTTGAGGTGCTATTTGTTTTTATATTACTTTTTTTATATTTACTGTTGCACAAAAGTGCGAAAGTCAAAAAAGATGTTATTTATTATTTGATTGTTCAAGTTACCTCACAGAAGTGCTCTGTTTGTTAACAGAGATGTTTAATGTTCAAATAAGGTGAAATAAATATACAATAAGGAACATCCTGAATCTGTTTTTTCACTCTTCTTTATAATTTTTTTATATATTATAGAAGTATCGAATTGGGTTTTGGTATCAGTAGAAATTCAAAATCAAATGAAAAAACCTGATTGGGACATCCCTAATCAAAACCCTCATGGCCAACAGAATAAATTACTGTAAAAAAAAAAAAAGTGCGACTGTTACACTTTTTAAAAACTTAAAACATGTTTAAAAAATTGAAAAGGTCTTCAGCAGATATGGTATTAGAGCTCTTGCGAACATAACTTGCAGAAGAGGTTTTGTTGACCTAAATAATGATACTTTCATTTTTTTTACATTCGTTATGTTGTTGTTAATTAGGGCTCCACCATATATTGATTGAGCATTGATATCGCACTGTGTTTATCCACAATAGTCACATCTCAATATTACATTTTTATTGAAGATTAATATCTTTTATTGAAGATATTAATATTTTTAACTATTTATACAATAGCCATTTTTCCATCCAAAGATGCTAAATAAATTTATGTGCAAAACTGGATTATCACATAAAAGATATCACATCCAACGAGTCAAAGCAAACAAAATTGTAAATTCCTGATTAACAGGCACCAAAAATCAAAAGTAAAACTGAAATTTATTGAGGTAGGGGAAGCTGCGTAAATCTTTTCCTTATTTAATAAATGACCTGCACCTCAGAAAACAATGCCGACACACAATGAACAAGTGGTGGCGTTAAATGCATTAAACGCGGAGCACAGATGCTCTTGACAGCTCTGGAGGTAATTAATAACTGAATAAGACTAATACTGAAATGGTTAAGGCGTTTTTAGATGCTTTACAATGTGCTCAGCTTGCAAGTTTATCCATTCACAGACATTTTTTTATCATCAAATGATCTCACAACAAAATCACAAAACTTTATCGCGCATACTGGAATTTTTTCGGTAAAAGTGGGCAGGTAGGTTATGCACATCTTTTCTTATATGAATAAAAGGTTTATCCTACTCAGTCATGCGCATATGTGTTATGTGCATTTTCAAATCTCCGAAATGCACATAAAAATAGGTGGATGGAATTGTCTTAATGATGATCATGTTGTTTTATGTTTTATTGTTCAATTTCTGTACCTGAATGTTGTAAGACTCTCTAGAAAACCAAAAAGTGTTGTTTATTTCACTCATCTTTGCTCTGTTCTATTTATGTATATATATATCAGTCCAAATCAGTCCAAATCAGTGCAAAAAATATATATATATAACTCACAAATTATTTTGATGGTCCGTTTGTTGAATTTAAGTTACATTGCAACTAATTTTTATTAGATTATAAGTAGACTGTTAGGTGGTGGTTAGGGCTGGGGTTAGTGTAAGTTCACAAAATACTTGCAAAGTTTCTTATAGTCAGTTAAATGTCTGTTGAAGGAGCAATATTAACAGATATTAAACAGACAGTCAACTAATACTCAAATGGACTATCAAAATAAAGTGTTAGCAAAAAAGAAATAATAAAAAAATTAAAGTCTAAAAAGACGGAACTTACTGCAAATTTGAAATAAAGTTGAAAAGACAACAGACAAGTGTGGGATAAGAATTAATGAATGATTTGGGAAAAAAATAAACACTTCATCGCTCAAATGAACATTTGTTTTGATCTTCTCTCATTTTAAACCATTATTTAATAGTG